GTGTGTCTTTCTGCTTCTGCAATACCTCACTTAGGATGATCTTTTCTAGTTCCAACCATTTGCCTGCAAATTTCATGATTTCCTTAAAATTTCTCTCTTCAATCATATTTCATGAGAAAATTTGTTTCTAATTTCATTAATGAGTTAAAATTGCATTCAGCAGTGATTAAAATAGTAAAGTAAGAATTATTTTCCTTTTCTTTTAAAATTTATTCTCAGGCTGTGGTTAAGTAGACAATGGCACTGAAATACTAAAGAAAATATGTCTCTTGTATTTATATAATATTCTACCTTTATTACTCAAAACATCTGTCTGATAAGAACTACATTTCCCGATTTACAGATGAGAAAAAACTGAGTATTACACAGGAAAGCAAATGGCATCCTCACTGCATCACAGATGGTAGGAGTGTCAATACTCAGTGCCAGGCACGTTACACACTGAAATAGACTTTTTTAAATACCATGTCATTAATTGTTTTGAATGCAGACTGAAGATATCAAAAATTTAATCTGTGCCTGTGGAAGCTTTTTTTTTTTTGTACTTAAGAAATATAAATAAGATTATACTAAATGTAAAGAGAGAAAAAACATTATATTCAAGAGAAAAATGAAAAAGTTGTCTGAATGTGTGTGTGTGTTTCTTAACTAGAAGATATTTAGTGAATATGGTCTAAATTTTAAAGTGATCCCTATTGAGAATTTAAATCCATCTCAGTTTTGATGCTACCATTTATAAGAAATAAAAATCTTTGTTGTTGGTTTCAAGGAAATTATGAAATTTGCAGGCAAATGGCAGGAACTGGAAAAGATGATCTTTAGTAAGATAACCTAGAAGCAGAAAGACACACATGGTATATACTCACTCATAAGTGGATATTAGCCATATAATTTAGGATAACCATACTAAAATCTATAGTCCTAAAGAAGCTATACAACAAGAAAGACCATAGAGAAGATGCTCAATCCTCAGAAGGGCAAACATAGACATCAGAAGCAGGAGTAGTCAGGGAACAGGACAGGAGCCTACCACAGAGGGCCTCTTAAAGACTACTGATTGAGGTATCCAAGCAGAGGCTGAGACTCATAGCAAAACTTTGGGCAAAGAGCAGGGAATTTTATGAAAGAAGAGGAAGTTAGACTGACCTGAAAGGGACAGGAGCTCCCAAAGGAGACCAACAGAGCCAGAAAAACAAAAAACCAAACCAAACCAAAACAACAACAACAACAAAAAAAAAAAAAACAAAAAACTGAGACCTGGGGGCCCTGAAGAGAATGAAACCTCAACCAAGGACAATGCATGGAAAGGAACTAAAACTCCGGCTGGGCTGAGAAGTAACCCAAACACTCAGTATCCAAGTGGGGTCCCTAATAAGGAAAGCAGGTTCTTTCTCTGGCATGAATGCAGTGAAAGGCTCTCTGATCACCTCCCCCTGGGGTTGCAGCCTTGCCAGGTCACAGAGGAAGACAATGCAATCAGTCCTGATGAGACGTGATATGCTATGGTCACGTAAGAGTGGAGGAGGTCCTACCCTATTAGTGGACTACGGGAGGAGCATAGGGAGAGCAGAGGGAGAGGGATACTGTTGGGATACAAAGTGAATAAATTTTAATAGTGATAATAACAAAAAATGAAAAAAAAATTGCTATTTATTCCCATTTTTAAAAATCCATATAGATCTGCAAACACAAATCTTAACTGTAGTTGCTAGGTCAAGTTCTTCACCAATCTCTGAAAATAGAGCAGCTCAGAAACTACTTGTATTTGGTAATCTTTGACTTCATCCCGTGACCAGTTAGCTAAAGTAGTGCTGAAGAACAGGATAGAAAGCCTTGCCTTAATCATGTTCACTTGATTTTAATAATACTCCAGAAAGTATGAAAGGCCATAATTGAATCAATAAATGTGAATATGGCACCCAGCATTTTCAACCAAAAACAAGCATATATATATATTTCGTACACAAGAAAGACACAAGCCTTCAAAGTAGTTCAGTCGAGTGAAGAACATGGGCCTGTCTCCGCTATCCCGCACAACAGACACGCCTCAAATTACACTGTAGTGCAATAAACGTATCATTAATCATTAAACCAGGAGGAGATTCAAAGGTCCCGAAAATGTTCAGCTATTGATCGATTGGTTGATTTCTGTTTAGGATATGAAAACACCCCTCCCTCACATCAGTGGGCATCAAGAGTAAATAAGAATTGCAGAAACATTCAGATCTCCCGCTCTCCCTACTTAATCTGAGACAAGAAAACTGGGCCCAGGGAAGGGAGGCTTACAAAACTCAGGTTAAAGACACATAGAATTAAATGAAGGTAGCATGGCTATAAATAGCTGTATGCAACTCCAGTGCTCAAGCAAAATCGAACCTGAGCCAGAACTTTAAGAATCACATTGATTTTGCTCTATTATCACATTCAGAAACATCTTCCGTAACAAATAGGTACTACCTAAAATTGTAATTACAGGAGGGGAGTTATTTTAATCAAATTCATTGTATGAAAACACCTTAACCCATATTATTCAAGATCTGCTTTAATAGTCAAATTTATAAATTATTTGTTTTTAATTTTTTTTTTAGAAATCACTGCTACTGAAAACAAATAAAATACAATTAAAATATAAAAACACCCCCCCCCAAAGTAATTTGAAGTCCACAGCCTTCCATCCTAATAAAGCAGGCACAGGCTTGTGTCTAACCGGAAAGCAGAGTAAGGCAATGTGAGCGCTCACTGCTGTCTGTCCCTGCCTCTAGAAACTCATTCCAAAGAATGGAATCATCTGGATCATTTTTATTGCCCCCTCAGTCTCAAGACCGTCTGCACAGCACTGCTGAAATGTACCTCAGTGTGCACCTTCCTTCCATTTGAGTATCTGTGTCAGGGTTATTTATAGCTGATGCCTTCAGACAGAGCATTTCCAGGTGTGAGAAATAAAATCTCCACGGTGATCCTCGAACCCTTCACAAATGGCCTTTGGAAAGACAATGGAAAACAGCGTATAATGCAACACGTGAATGATGACTCACTGAGAAGCCCAGGCACACACTCAACTTACACTGTTGTAAGCATGTGTAAAGAGCCGGGGTGGAGTCACAGAAGTGAAGTGTGCCCTGTGTATCTTTTAATGTAACTATCCGGCTACGCTGGGATTACTGTCACCGCCCCTTTCTTTTTCTTTTTCTCATTAGGAATTCTCTGAAATTTAGGCACCCTCTTTGTTTCTTACTGAAATGCCTTTCTAGTTCTGCGCTTTCCTCTAATCCATTACAAAAGCAGGCCATACTTCCCCCTGCTGGGAAAAAATTAAATTACAAGGTGCATTAGAACAATTTCCTAAGTCTCAAGAAATCTGGTGCTTCCAAAGAAAAACGTCAGAAAACCAGGTACTTAGTGTTCTCGCTCTGGTAAGACTTTCATCCACATCTCTCGTAACTGTAAGTTCTGAAAGTACAATGATTAATGTATATTAATCAGTTATTAATATACATTAATAACTGATGAACCTATTATTGAGCTATCTGTCCCAAAGAGAGGTCCAGTTATCAAGTCAGAGAAGATCATGCATTTGCATTTTTTTTTATTGTACACTGAATGGAAACACTTCTGGAGAACAGACTGAAGTGAACATTGAAGAAAACATTTTTAATCTGTTAGTATCTATTAAGCGATGGCTATTCTTTTGAATACTCCTATCTTGATTAGGCTGTTGCCCTTTAACGGTGGAGAAAGGAGAGGAGAGTTCATGACTTTAGTTTTTCGCTTTCATTTGTTATCATTTGAGTACTAGGTAATGGTAAACACGATTGCACTGCGCTGCCCAATACTCTCCAAAGCCAGCCTCTCCCTTCAAACACGGTTTAGAAACTTCGAATCTTCCACATTCTGATTATAAATTCCCTGGCGGTCTTTCATGAAATACTTTGTTATTATAGGCTATAATAAATAGCGACCCATTAAAGATGTCAAAATCAATCTAATGTCTCTTAATCATATGAGGAGTAAAATTTTCCTCTGATGCACAACTAAGTCTTGAACCTATTTTAAGGCTGAGGAGCTGGGCAAGAGGACGATGTCACTGTCTCTTCTAATGGGGACGACCTCAACACCCAGAGCTTCACTGTAGCCAGTCTGGGCATGAAGCAATTCATTAATAATGAAACAGTCATCCCAAAATTCTGCAGTTGTTTTAAGTAGGAATGTTCAGGTTACTGGGTATTCGAGATGTCTTTAGCAGCTGTCATTGTTTCACGTGTAAGGAATGATTAGGGTTAATATTTGTGACGGAGAAGTTTTCACGTGTGGCTTTTTTCAAACGACCTTTCAAAGCAATGCAAAAGGCAAGATACTCTTCCAGGAACCGAATCTCCGCTAAAATCACAGGTACACAAAAGAAAACGTACACCTTGTTAAAAAAAAAAAAATGAGGAACAATTGATCAATTATAGAGCGTTCCTAGGCACCAATATCTCTCGTGGTACCCAATCATCACGTTTCAAATACGTTGATAAGCGCTTTAGCCTCTACTTAGCACGTTCCCATAAACGCACGAACATGCATACTTTAATGCCGATTAATTCTAAGACTTTCCGGGAGAACGACTGTTCAAAGGGTGTCAGAATCACTTATAAACGCGGAAGAAGAATACAATAAAAAAATCAAAAGCCTGATCCGTGACCGAGATGCTCCCCAGAACACTCCATGGATTGCAGTTGCTCCTGAACTGATTTCCCTGGCTTCTGCAAAGTGAAGAGGTCCCGGGGGGCCAGCGGACACTTGCTGGTTTCCCTGTCCAGGACCCTAACAGGTCGCCTCACTCTGCCATTAGACCTCACGGCTCCGGTCGCCAGCAATTCAGCCTCGGAGGAGCCTGGCAGACCGCGCTGCGCTCCTGCCCTGGGAAGCGGCTCCCTGGAACAGTTTCTGCCCGGCGGAGCGCCCGCCCTCCCCAACTTCACCCTGCCCGAGCTAGCAGGCGCCGGGACCCGTCCTACCTTCCGCCAGAAGGCGCGACGCGTGCACAAAAGATGGATCCAGGCTATCCTTCTCTGCCATCAGCTCAGGCAAGTATTTCTCTTCTCCCATAGCGCGGACTTCGGACCGTGCCGGGCCGGGCTCGAACCCCGCCTGCTCGGACGCAGCGGCCCCTGGCTCCCTCGGGGACCGTCCTTCCCGCGGTGAGCGCAGCTCTGGCGCCTGGGGCTGCGCCGCCCGCGCCGGTACCTGTCTCTCCGGAGCCCCTGCCCGGCTCCGGCCGCGGCTGCAGCTGCCGAGGCTGCCCGCGCGGCCCGCCCCCGCCGGCTTCCCATTGGAGGGCGGGCCCGGGGGCGGGGCATCCGCGGAGGCGGCGGGGCATCATTGGGCGGGGCCGCACGTCGTGCGGCGTGAGTGGCAGGAAACTGCTGAGGCGGGGAGGGCTCTTCCGAAGTGCCAGCGCTCTCTCCAGGCCGCCTCTGCCCGTCGGGTGGTCAGGCCTGTCCGTCGCGCTGTGGACAGCCAGGCGTCCGGGGTGCTGAGAGAGCGAGAACGTACGTGCCGGGGGCAGGGATGTGACGGACTCCGGCTGTGCCCCCGAGGCACAGGTGTCCCTCCCCGAGGCGCCTCGCGCGCTCCCGGACACGGCTGGACACCCGGGACCGAATGTGGGCTGTGCCTGGTGTTGCCCAGGAGAATGTCCACTCGTGCGTACAACTCGAGGGGTTCCTAGATTCCGTAGCCCACCGAAACGCTACCCGGGTGCATCACCGTGAGTGATGCAGCATCAGTCCTGAGGCTCCAGCCATCCCCACGGCGGAAAATGTACTCACCGTGGAAACTTAGTGGGGAGAATGGTGAATGGAACAAGCCAGAGGTAGATACCTTACTCCGGTCGCTCTGATGTTCTCATATTTTAGACGAGATGGTCCCTTTCATTGCCGTGGGAATGTTGCTGAACCACTTCATATCTCCCACCGTTATCCAAAGGAGCATTTAACGCTCAAGAGTCGCCAACAAATGGGGAGAGGGGGATCCTTCCCTTCCAGATGGGACCCCTGAAACATGCCTTGCCTGCTTTAAATGGAATAAGAGTCCTCACTGTGTTGTTGTCTTCCCCGAAACAATCCCCTTTCAATTCTTATGTAATGTAAACCTTCCAATGTAATGACCAAGCCAACTTTCCCAGACATACAACTGGCTGGAAGTTTTCTAAGTTCTCTTATTCTGTCTGCTGCGTTCCGTCTATTTAATTTAGATATAGCTGGGATATTGTATTTACTTTATATGACATTTTAAAAAGTTAACATGTCTCACTTCCACAAGATAACTCACTCCAGCTCACAAAAGCAATGAATAGCATGGGCCCTAGGGTTCCAGTTTTTGTTTATATGGTTGGGGTGATAAGCCTCATAGTTCTGCTAAAGCTGAGGCTAAAGTTCAAATCTAAGCATACGACGAAGCTTCAGACAGCAGGGCTTACCCAACTTTCCCGTGTGCTAGATATTTAAATTATATGCATCCATCTAATTAGTGTTTATAGATATTGAAAGGGGTCTAGGGCCTGGACTTGAAATTAGAGAGTCATTGTCAAACAAGCTAGAACACACCGCATTTTCTCTCATGGCTGTGATGCTTTCTAATGAGGGACGACGAAAGGACCCAAGAACACAAGACAAACTGTCAGAAATAATAGAAAATTAGCACGAATCCTAATCTTTAAGGTAGTTTTTGGACTTAGTACACAGCAGATATCATAAAATAAAAAATAAACAGTTTTGACCCTCAGAAACCAATTTTCTTATTGTTTGCTTCCAAACAGGATGAGCAAGTAAAAGCAAAACCAAATGCCTTGCACAGGTGCCCTCCTCCACTCAGATCCATATGTTCCCAGTAGGTGACTCCATATCACTAGGTGTTGTCTCCTACTCATATATAGCTATTTTGTGGCCACCAAAATTGTGTATTAAATATTTTAAGAGCAACCTAAAGGCTGAGAACATCTTATAAATACAAACGTAAATAAATTGATGACCTATAAATAAATTATTATTGAATAAAGTATTTGTGGCTATACATAAATAAATTATAACTACTTGTATGCTTCCCTCTTCTGACCCTAGGAAGAATCAAATCATATCTTAATTGATTTTCAACCTGAGTTCTAGTCCTGAAAGACTTTTTTAAAATTCGATCTTGCTTGTTGTACCATTATTCCAAAAGTGATTTATGGTGAGAAATGCCCCAAGTCAGTTACCATCCAGAGGATATACAAGAAACAGTGTATAGAATATGTGCTGTGATGAATGTGCAAGTTATGTATTCAGGCCTCTCACAGTCTCGTGAGAAAGGCGCCAAAGACTTTTAATCAGCTTATCACACAAGCAGCAACCACACATAATGAATTATTAAATAAGATACAATGTTTCTATTTCTTTCATTGTTTTAGTCAACTTTTTGGATAACACACCTGCACAGAACCGACTCGCAGTAACAGTCTGCAGAGGCTGATTGGTCATCAAGAGGGCTGGAGTTCCCCCACACAAGCTTAATGTCCCCCAGATGCTTATAAGGGCATCTCTACAGCGGGCAGAGACGAGACAAAGTGCATACACTCACACAGATGGATGCGAAGAAAGAAAAAAAAAAAGATATAAGAAAGAAAAAAAGAGAAAGAGGGGGCAGGAAGGAAAGAAGGAATAATCATGGATTAACAAAAGTGCCAAAAATCAGTAACTTGTACAAGGATATAAAGACAGCTGTCCTCTATTCAAGTGTGTAATCGCAGTTTGGCCTTCTAATAGGTAAGTATACTTTCTGGTATAACTGAGAATTGAAATGTTAACTTATTAACTTTCATTTGCTGAAGTGTCTGGCAGAGTCTCATTGGTGAAAAGATTCTGTTTTTTTTTTTTTTCTTTTAGTTTCATTAAGCACACAAGTCATTTGTCAGTGCGTATCTCTAATAACTGCAGTAATATGCTTTAGGATTATAAAAGGGGATAGGGAAGGCTGGCAAATGGCTCAGCAGGTATAAGCACTTGCTACTCAAGAATGTAATGGACATGCTCCCCTACTCCCGACACACAGACACACTAATAAAATGTAAAATAAAGTACTTTTTAAAGGGAATGAAGAGTAGAGCTCTGATTATACTGACCATCAAGAGCAGTGACAATATATGCTGTGAACGGTCTTTCAAGTCTTCTGATAGGAGCAGTTAAGAAGGGGAGTTGGGGTGAATATGACCAAAATACATTGTACTGAAGTCACAACGACTTATGAAAATAATAGAATAGGAAATTAAGAAGAAAAGCCTATCATTTGTAGAAGGGTTTAGAGTCAAAATTTGCTATATGCTAATATGTCACAGCAAAAGTTAAAAACTTATATCCTAAATAGATGTGTGATGGTTTTGATAAACTTTAAAATGGTCATGTCATACCTTAGGAGAAACACGTGTATAGTGTATAAGGTAAGCACAGCAGAAGAGACACACACACACACACACACAAAGAGCTGACTATTGAGGGTCAGCCAATGAGTTGTACTATTGCTGTTGTGAGTGCTCACAATTTGAACAAAAGGAAAGAAAAAAAAAGTGTCCTAATTTTAAAGTGACCTTGCAATGCAAGTAATACATTTCTGGTGCTAGAATCATCTACTTTTGTGAAATTTACCAAGGTGAACCTCTGGACAGCTACCACGCTTGACACGTTGTTGACACTGATAGCAGATTCTTGTGAGTAAGGAGCATGAAGCTGTCATTGTCACACCAAGGCAGAGCCATTGACTGTGTTCTTAATATTAAATCCAACAACTGGTGACATGTTGCTCAACTATTGATTGTTTCTGGAGATCAACTCGTTTCAAAGTAAAAAAATTACAGTCCTAGTATTTAATAGTTTGCATGCATGGCAAGTGATGATCTAATCTCCATTGTATTTGGTATAAAATAAGACAAAAGGTTACAAGATTTAATTTTTAAAAATTCAGGTAAATAAAAACTCATTATACACAATACGTATCATGACTAATAGTAGGGAGAAAAGATTTGATTGAGCTTTAATTTTAGTTTAGCAATGACTGATGGACATTCCTGGAACAACTGCCTAACATTAAAATAGAGTCTTAAGAGAAGGCCATCCTACTCTAGGGTTTAAATCACTGCCAGTCCTCAGGTGATATAAGTTTTCTAGTTCTTGATCTGAGCATAACATACTGCTACACATACAATGTTATCTGAAAACATTGTCATAAATTGGGTACCAACTATAGAAGAAAACATTTTGGAGGAAAAATTACAATAGTGGTTGTCACGGCTGGAGGTAGAAGTGAAGAGAAGGATAATTGCTTCACGGGTGCAGAGTTGAAGTTTGGTGAGAAGAACAAGTTCTGAAGATGGCTTGGGCAAAATTTTAATTATGCTTAAAATAACTACAGTGAAAACATAACATGGTTAATATGGCAAATATTCCATAAAAACTAACACTAGTGTCAGGCATTTGAAGAGAATGATGAAATTAAAAATGACATTGCAGCTCTAGTCTGGTAGTACACACATATAATCCCAAATAAGGAAGGGGCCAGCCATGAATTTGAGGTCAGCTATGGCTATGTAAAAAAAGATGTCTCAAGAAAAAAATATCCAAATTAAAGAATTCATCTATCCTACATAACAGAGAAGGAAAGAATTAACTATTAGGATTCAGAGCAATGTCATAGGTCGGGTTCTGTGGGGACAGGAACTTGTCAGCATCTAATCAAAAGCTGATGACTACAATTAAAATCATCTCAATGTGTAACAATTCAGCACTGGATTAGATCTTGGGACAGATTTTGTCTTTTTCCTTAAAAATAGTAACAGTGGGACTGACAAAAATATGATTATTATCCCCTTGATCTCCTTTACTTGCCTTATTGCTCTAGCTAGAATTTCAAGTACTATACTGCAGAGGTAGGGAGGAGTGTGGGTAGCCTTGTCTTGTCCCTGATTTTAGCAGAATTGCTTTGAGTTTCTTTCCATTCAGTTTGATGTTGGCTATTGGCTTGCAGTATATAGCCTTCATAATGTTTGGGTATGTGCCTTGTATCCCTGATCTCTCCAAGAATTTCATTATGAAAAGGTGTTTGATTTTGTCAAAGGCTTTTTCTACATGTAAAGAGATAATCATGTGATTTTTTTTCT